TTTAGGTCGAAAAATCTCAGTTCTATTTGGTTACAATGAAACTATGTCATCTCGATTTTATATCATGATTTAATAACTTAAAAGTTAATTATAGTTATGAGAAATTTACGTTCACGTGTCAATCCTATCTATCTTCAATATTTTTCACTTTTTGTGTCTTTTTCATATTGGTATTGCTCGATATAAATATTCATTTTGAAGTTTATTCTCATTTGGTTTGTTTGTTTTGGTATGAGATTTAGAAAATGCTTAAGATTTGAAATAATTACAGAGATACATGCTTAGGTTAAGATCTGCACTTTTTGTAAAATAAGTATTTTATACTTATTATTTATTTTAGGTTTTTCTGCATATTATGAAATAATAAAATAATAACTATATATATTAAATAACTAAGGAATCAGTTACTATTATGTGATAAATTGACATGTGCATATAAATCTAACGATCACTATTGTTTATTTGCAATTAGGGTAAATAAATCAAAACAATCAATCTTATCTATAATATATGATATATAATTAAATTTAAATGATATTAACGTAAATATATAGCATACTTTTAATATGGATATTTATTAAATGAGATTTCTACTCATATAATTTTATGAATATTTAACAAAATTTTACACCAACATTTTTTTTTTTAATGTGAGATGTTTAATAGTTTCAATAATTTATAATCATTAAAAAGTAATGGCAGGTTTCAAAATTAAAATATTGACTTTTCAATATATGTTCATGCAAATAGCAAAATATAAGTATGTATTTTCATATGATATATAGTTTAATTTAAACAATATGAAATATAATATATATATAGTAACATAAAACCTATTAAAAAAATTATTTCTTCATATGGTCTTATAATCATTGTATTTTAATATAGAAAAAAATTTAAACCTTGATCATAAAAGCTTAAGTGAGACTTTTAACAGTTTTAGTAATTTATACTCGTTTTGAGAAATTCGAAATACAACATACACAAAACAAATCTAGCTTTTATTATATGATTAATGTAATTGTGTCATTTATTTTAATAATAAAGAAATAAACAAAAGTATACAGATAGTTATCAAATATTTATTGTGTAAAATCATTAATTGTCATATATATTTTAATCACATAGGTAATTCCGTAGGTTTTTTTAAGGAAAGTCTGCGAAACAATAAATATTTGATATATGCGAACAGTTATAGCTTCAAAATATTATATTGATGGAGAGTATAATTTTTAGGCTATATTCTATATAATATGCCCTACAATCCTTCTAAATTGAATTAGAAGGCATAGAGAGATGCCACATAGGATGAGGTTATTTTTTAATTAATACAAAATTAAAGTTACATCTTTTCAAATGTTTCTCAATTAATATATAAGGGGATACCCTTGTAGATGTAAAAGCAAGTTCAGGTGCATTGTCAGATCGTATGTCTTTAGCAGGAACATTATATTGAGTATGAATGAACTAGAGAAATTCAAACAGAGTAGAAACGGAACTCTTATCAAGTAAAAGATATAGCCATGTAACGCGAGTGCAATCATCAACGAGTGTGAGAAAGTATTTGTAGCCATCATGAGTATGCTCAGAGAAAGGACCCCAAATATCAATATGAATTAAATCAAAAGGAGATTGAGATAACTTGGGAGAAGAAGGAAAAGAAATGTGTGTTTTCTTAGTCAATGGACAAATGGTATAAAAATTTTGAAAGAATTTTTATCTTATGAGAAGAAAGATGACCGAGAGGCATATGCCAAACATTAGAAAAAACTTGAAGGAGAACAGCCTGAGAAGATGAGGATGAAGACGGTTGTATAGAGAGTGATGACACGATAGGGGAAGAAGGAGCTTCAAGGACATACAGATCGTTACGAGGGTCACCCTTCCCAAACATGGAGTCCTGAATAAGCTCCTGAGAGATAAAAGGATTGTTAGGAAAGATGAAGCAATAATGAGAAGAAAACATGACGGAGATCAAACTGTTCCGAGTGAGAGCACAATTGCTTAGAAGGTTAAACTTGAAGTGAGGGATGTATAAGCAATCAAAGAGGATAAGATCCTTGGTAAGTTGAATAGTTCCAGAACGAAGAACAGAGATATGTGTACCATCAGGAAGAGTGACAGAGGTGTTAGTAAGGACCTAGTTTCTAAAAACATGTCTAAATTTGAACTAACATGACAACTAGCACCAGTATCAATGATCCAATCATGCGAAGTATATGTAAGGCCATTTTTGGTTCACGCAGAAATAAAATGTGAGTTGATGTAATGAAGGGTACCTAAAGGTGGGTGGGAAGGTGTGTGAGGGATAATATGAGGTTATGGTTTTGAGGTAGAAACGGTTCCATCCGAAAGACAAATTGTACTACCAGATATCTGCTAAATGTTGTCAATGAGGCTAGCATTACCAGCACCTAAGACACTTAGAAATCTGTGAACTTGATCTTTTGTCGCTGTCCCCAAATGCACACCTTGTTGATCCATAAGAGAGATACCACCAGTATCCTTGACTACCATATTTGCAACATTCTCTTTACGAGTCTGGAACTGTTGATTCTTTGTATTATCAGACAAAGGAGGTGTAACTGTTGATGACCTCGAATAGTTTCTTTGTAACATATATCCATGTGGGTATCCATGGAGCTTATAGAAACGATATATGGTTTGCCCCGCAATACCACAATGAGAACATATCGGTCGAGATTTTGGCTTGATATAGTCAGTAGAATAAGCAGCTACCACTTGATGATCAGGCGTTCTCTGAGAGGCTTGAAAAGCAACTGCACTGGTACTCTTCATAGACTGTTGCCTCTCTTCTTAACAGACAAGGTTAAATACCTTTCAGATATTTGGCAGTGGCTCCATCATAACAATCTGACCCCGAGTTGCAGTGAAAGTGTCATTCAATCCAGTAAGAAAGTTCAAGATACGATCTTGCTCTTCTCTCTCAGCAATCAGTTTCATAGTTGCACAATCAAGACGAACACAACAACACACATAAGGACTCTCATAATTCTTCAATTCCTCCCAAAGTTGCTTCAATCGAGTATAATACTCACTAACAGTTTCAGAACCATGTACTTTTGCAAAAAATTTGTTGCTTGAAATCTGTTGTTCGAGGACCATCGCTTTTCTTGAATTGATCGTGAATATCTAACCACATCAGCCTAGCAGTATCAAGATACATAATACTCTTGTCAATAGGCTTCTCAACAGCATTCACGATCCATGTACAAAAAATGTTGTTACATCTCGCCCAATAAGAAAAATCAGAATGATCTTTAGCAAGTTGCGGATAAGTTCCATCAACAAAAACAGACGTATTTCAAGCTCCTAAAGCCATCAACATTTTTCTACGCCAGGTATTAAAGTTCCCTAATCCAATTATCTTTTCAGAGACGAGAGATATACCGGCGTGATCAGCGTTATGAACGTACAACGGATTGGAGTTTGGATCAGTGAGGGACGCCAATGGAGGATGATTCTCTTCAGATGCATCGCGATTCGCAGTAGACGATGATTGATGAGCCATCAGAAAAATGAAGTAGATAATGAAAATTCAAGTTACAAGAACTTGATTGCGGAAGAATAGAACGCAAATCAAAGGTCAAAAACAAAGAGAAAAGAAAATCAGAAGAGAAATCGTGAGAGAGAAGACATGAAAGATCGCAAAAACCTCAAGAAAACACAGCTCAATAAAGATCGCAACGATACATCGAACGGAGAGAATCATCGAAAACAAAGAAGAAAGAAGATTGAGCTGAATTTTCCCAGAGAAAGAAGCTAGAAAGCGGAGATTCACCGCTCTGATGCCATATTAGATGCTTGAGCTCAAGAGAGTTTGTTACGGAAAATGTAAACTCTTATTAATGCTCAAGTAAGTTGTAAAAATGTACAATGTGAAGTATATATACATGTGGTTTAGTAAATGGAAGCTAAACTGTATTGGTTAAGTCCAAAGGAAACCTATAACTTGTATGATAGTATAATCTAATAGGTCGGCTCACAAAAACTTCTGATATGAACAGTGACGAAAAACCTCATTGTGATTCTGATTTGATCAACAGATGCTTATAAGATTAAACACTTCTGTAACATTTTGAGTTGTGATATATGGAAAGGTAAGAGGATTGATTTGGCTACCTATGTCACCAAAGTGCATTTACCTTTTCGGGAGCACATCGAGAGAGAACCTTAAAGTTAACCGTGCTTGAGTTAGAGTACTCTAAGGATGGGTAATCTATCGGGAAGTGACTTGCGATACCGTGTAAGTGAGGCCAAAACACGTGGAAATGTCATGTCGTGATTGCAGGGTCAGTAAACATGACTCTAAAGCCTTGAAAAATTAACGGAACGGCTGTTGGAACAGGATGGAGCCCACGGGCCGAGAGAGTGGACGTGGGTGGCCCATCAGCTGTGGACGGTCGGGGCGTTACAAGTTGTATCAGAGCCAAGTTAGCCATCTCAATTACGACCTGAGAGGCGTCTTGAGACATGTCCTGGGGCGCAACGAGGACGTTGCGTTCTTTGAGAGAGAGTGAATTGTAACATCCCGATTTGTGATATATGGAAAGGCTTATGATGATTGATTTCGCTACCTATGTCACCAAATTACATTTACCTTTTCGGGAGCACACCCAGAGAGAACTCGATAATTAAGCGTGCTTGAGTTGGAGTAGTCTAAGGATGTGTTCCCTATCAGGAAGTGATTTACGATACCGTGTAAGTGAGGCCAAAGCACATGAAAAGGTCATGTGGTGATTGCAGAGTCAGTAAACATGACTCTAAAGCCTTGAAAAATTAATAGACCGGTCGTTGAAACAGGATGGAACCCACAGACCGAGAGAGCAGGCGTGGGGGACCTATTAACCGTTGACGGTCAGAGCGTTATAACTTCCTCGTCGTGCTTTCTTCTACCAGGGTATCATTCACACAAATATTAAAAAATGACATATTCTAATGGGTTTTGTTGTTAGCCGTGACGTAAGTAAATCCTGAGTTCATTCCTTTGCTCTTGGTAGAGGAACTTCCTTTGTAATGGTTACACGCGATCCCAAAATCTCTGGAAAAAAAGAGGATCGTGAAACAAAAAGATATCAACATCCTAAAAGCAAATGAGAGTAGACAAACGCATTTATACTGACGTTTTCAAGAAAATACACCGTAGTAACGGTAGTATTATAATTTTAATTAGAGCTTGATCTGCGTATTTGCAAAAGAATTTTTTTTAAAAAAAATTATATAGTAATCTTTGCTTTGTATAAAGGGCAGTATTTTTTTTTTTTTGTTGACAACGAACGGCTGATCTATTACTCAAACTTGAGGTGGTCTGGGAATCCAGACCGGAATAGAACAACCTACAAACATCAGTTCTCAATAAAAGGATCGAGCAGTCCTAGCTAATGAATCAGAAAAACCATTCTGAGCCCTAGGCACATGAACAATGCTAAACGCGGGAAAACAGATCTGCAGGGTAGCGATCTTTTCCAATTCCGTTGAGAAGCTTGGCCAATCATGTGGTTTCCTAAGCATCGATATCACCTCCTTACAGTCCGTCCCAAAGCTCTGACATAGCGAATGTTGAAGCATGTTCTCCATTGCCCACTGCAGTGCTTCCAGCTCAGAATGCAAAGCAGGCTCCACTCTAACAAAGTTACGCAATCCCATCAGCTGATCTTTCTCCATACTATCCTTCCATACCCAGCCACACCCACTATATTGAGCTGTGGAGGTCCATGAACCATCCACCAGGCAAATATCCCCCAGACTCATGATCTGGTTACCATCAGTCATGTCGATCTGAGAAGGAAAGGACGACTGTTCATTGGCTTGATACCAGGCAAGGCATTCACTCTCTGCGTATCGTGCTGTCTCCAGTGGGTCTCTATCAATTCCTTTGAACAATTTGTCATTCCGAGCCTTCCAAATTTACAAAATTAACCAAGGATAAGAATCCATGTCTACTGCCGGTCCACCTAAGGCATCCTTCCTCCAAAAGAGATAATCCATGTTCGCATATGTGCTCTGCAATGGAAATAAAGACGGGCTGGTAGGTAGAGACGAAAAAGCCCAGACTTGCTTCGCAGGAGGGCACAGGAAAATGGCATGTGAAATCGATTCCTCCGGTTCACCACAACGTGGACAATAGTTATCACACTGCATATGGCGATAGTTTAAGATGCTCGTAACAGCCAACTGACTTGCTATTATCTGCCACATAAGATGACACATTTTTTGTGGAGCTCGCACCTTCCAAACTTGCGCTTGCAATTTAGTAATACTAGGTTCACTAACTACAGGCCTTTCCTCTCTCTTTAAAATATTTCGTACCACCCAATATCCAGACTTGACTGTATATTGTCCATTCCGAGTGTAGCTCCAGCAGAAAGTATCTCGCCGATGTGTCGAACTAACGGACATGCTCCTTATGAGAGGTATGTCAACCGCACTGACGTAATGGTTCAGTCTTGTCATGTCCCAGGTCTTTGTCTCTTGATTAATAAGATCACTGACTCTCATATTTGGGTGCAAAACCGGTGCAGATGGGATCGCCGGTCACGCAGGTATGGTAGGAATCCAAGGATCCTCCCATACTTTCACCTCATACCCCGAATGGATCTTCTGTCTGACACCCAATAGCAATAGTTCTCGTGACGCCGAAATACTAGTCCACACATATGATGGGTTACTAGTCGGAAGCTTGCACAAAGGCGAACCTGATCGGTAGTATCGCCCCCTCATTACACGAGCAACCAAAGAATCCGGGTATTGACTCAGCCTCCATAATTGTTTTGCCAACAATGCCAAGTTAAATTCATGAATCAACCTGAAACCAATCCCACCTTCCTCCTTTGGTAAGCATACTTTATCCCAAGTGGACCAATGAATGCCTCTTTTTGGGGGATTAGAGCTCCACCAGAACTGTGCAATGGCACTAGCTAAGGCATCACATATCTCCAAGGGCAAAAGAAAACAGGACATAACATAGGTCGGCAGAGCTAATAGGATCGATTTGATCATAACCTCCTTTCCACCTTTTGATAGCCACCTTCCTGTCCATCCATTAACCCTGTGTCTTAACTTATCCTTCAGAAATGCAAAAAGCTTACATTTGGACCCACTTATATCCTTCGGAATCCCTAGATAAGTGCCCATTCCTCCTTCACTCTGAATGCCAAGTGTATCTTTGATTTCTTGTCTGACCTCCTGTCCAATCCTTTTACCGAAGAGTAAAGAAGATTTGTCAAAATTAATGCATTGACCAGAGGCTTGTTCATATTTCGTGACCACTTTCATTACTTCTTCACATTCACGGAGCTCCGCCTTACAGAAAAACAGACTATCATCAGCAAAGAGAAGGTGAGATACCGACGGACACGCACGCGTGATACGCATCCCCGTTATCTTTCCTTGATTCTCTGCGTGATTTAGAAGGCTAACGAGCGCTTCCGTGCACAGAATAAAAATGAAAGGGGACTGAGGATCCCCCTGTCGTAGACCTCTCTCTGGGACAATGTTCACTCTTGGTTGACCATTCATCAGTACCTTATACCGAACAGAAGTTATACAGCGCATAATCCAAGTTATCCAAACTTCTGAAAACCCCATCTTCCTCATGGTAGCCTCAATAAAGGACCATTCCATTCTATCATATGCCTTACTCATGTATGTTTTAATCGCCATTCTCTTATTCCTTCCACTGGGTTTGGTCCTTAAGGCATGAAACAGCTCTTGGGCAATCATAATGTTATCAGAAATCTGCCTTCCCGCAACAAAGGCTGACTGGGTTTCTGATATTCTCTCTGGAAGAACCTTTTTTAACCTCTGGCATAAGACCTTAGAGATTATCTTATAGCTAACATTGCACAAGCTAATTGGGCGAAGCTGACTCATCTGATCCGGCCTATCCACTTTTGGGATAAGACATATGTTTGTTTCATTTAAGCAATTGGGTATCTCTCCTTCAAACAGGAATTTATTAACCATACGAGTTAAATCCTCCTTGACAATATCCCAAAATTTTTGGTAGAAAAGCGCAGTCATTCCATCCGGACCCGGGGCTTTCTCTGGATGCATGGCAAACAGAGCTAACTTAATCTCCCATTCAGTTACTGGTGCTGTAAGACCTTCATTATCCATAGGTGTGATGGTAGTAGAGACTTCCGATAGTGCTTCCTCTATGTCCTCCGGATTTGAGGACTGGAAAATGTGTCTAAAATAATTGGTAGCAATGGCTACTAATCCTTCCTCATCCTGAACCACATTTCCGTTTTCATCCAGAAGTTGCATAATCCTGTTCCTTGCTCTTCTCTGCTTCGTAAGAGCGTGAAATTTTTTTGTATTTCTATCTCCTTCGCGTAACCAAAAGACTCTACACTTCTGTTTCCAAAACAACTCCTCTGCCTTAATGGCATCAGATAATTCTTTTAAAGCCGCTGCAATCTCCTCAGTAGTGGCATCTTCATTCGAAGATAACTGGTCTACTCTCTCTTTTAACTCCTCCACACTTCTCTCAGAATTGAGATTATGCTGTCTCTTCCACTCACTCAGAGCCCGTCGACAGCTTGCTATATGTTCCATTATGCTGGCTTCCGGTGGCAGATCCGGTGATTTCCAACCTTCCAAGATCACTTGTCTGAGCTCCTCATTGTCCAACCACCGCTTATCAAACTTAAAATTTTTTGATCTCCGCGGTCTCTTTTTAAGAATATCAGCTAGGATCGGACGATGATCCGATCCCCACATCCTCATATACTGTGTCTTTGTATGAGGAAACTTCGAATTCTCATGCCAATCCTCATTACCAACAGCTCTGTCTAGACGGCATCTAACTGTGACCCTCCCTGCCCTTTTCCCAGCCCATGACAACATGTTTCTTGTGAACGGAAATTCCAGCATTCCACAATCACTTAACATTTGTCTAAAAGGCAAGAAAGAACTGTCTGAGCGTTCACGACCCCCCTCTTTCTCTTCAGGGCATGTAATCTCATTAAAGTCACCAATCATAAACCAAGGTCCATTTCTTGTTGTTGAGAAACGCGTAAGACGTTCCCATACTAAATCTCTTCTTTCTAAAACAGGGTCCCCATAAACAAATGTCATGTAGACTTTTATTCCATCAATGATTGCCTCAATATCAATCATTCGATTATTTGAAAATAAAACATTAACTTGAAATTCATCCATAAAAAATAACGCTAAACCTCCGCTGAGTCCAAGTGGCTCAACAGTAAATAAACGATCAAATCCTAAGTCGGCATGAATGTCCTGCAACAGCAGCCTCCTATTCTTCGTCTCAGAAAGAAACACAAGTCCTGGGCGATGTTTCTGACACATCTCCGTAAGGCGTCGAACTGTGATGTCGCTTCCAATCCCTCGACAGTTCCAACTGAGTGTCCTCATGGATAATGCTTGGATGGGTTTTTGGATCCCATCAAACCATCACCATTGTTTAGTCTCCCTTGAGTATTTTTAGCACCATGCCGCAAATGCTCAGCCTTCTGTCGTGATGCCGTATGTGTCGAGGTCTTAGCCACTCTCAATCTAGGGGACCCTCGACGGAGGAATCCCGGCTTCGTTACCAGACTACTTGATGAAGTAGCCGAGCGACCTGACTGTCTCTTACTTCCCGTTTTCATCTTTGCGCCAGCTTCTGCACCTTTACTCTCCTCGGCACTCAACTCCATAAATTCTTCGCCCAAGAGATCATCCTCAGCATCATCATAAACCTCTTGATCCAGCCTCGTTACATCATGTGTTTCATCTGTTTGCATATCAGCCAGAGCGCCTATGACCTGTTCCTCCTCGTCAACATCCTCGTCATTCGCAAAGGACAAAGATCGAGTTACACTCCTACTACGGATGGTTACATTATCTTTCATGGATGCTCTTCGTAATGGCGGAGACACAATGACACTAGCCAATTTTTTTGTTAGAAGACCTGAGTCCCCCAAAGTATCTCTGTCTCCACTCTGAACCTCAACATCATCTTGGCGCCCTACTAGAGACACAGGCGGCACTTCAGACTGAACTATATCGGCAGCTTTATCAAGAAACTCAGCTTGTCTCTCCATGCGCATTTCCTTAGTCGCTGGCTTCTCACGCCAAACTCTGTTTGACCTTCGCTCATATGGAGCAAAAGCCCGTCGGGAGCCATGATGTCGGTCATCATATTGCTTCTCACTCCGTCCCCTTATAACCCGATCGAAGGTTCTGGTGTAACCGCGTTCATCCAAGCGTTCGTGTGCAGAGTCCGTAGCTTTACTTCTTCCAGCGTACCCATTTTTTTGGTCTCGCGCAAATGAGCGAGATGAATATTGCACAGCTGAGTGATCACGTTCCTTGCGTACATTGTGATGATCAAAACCTTGATCCCTACTCAGCGAGGACTGAGGTCGGGGCAAAGGCTGTGCTCCATACCGTTTTGTACGATCCTTATGGGATTCATACCGATTACCTCCATTCAGTAATGGCTGATCATGAGCAGGAGGTAGTTGAACTCTCGCAAAAAAACCACTCCGTTCATGTTCAACCCTCGGTGCTAAAGTGTTTGTCGGACAATAACCCTTCTCATGTGTCATTAAACCACAAGTGGTGCAGTGTTTAAAGAGTAAGTCGTACTCAATAGTAATGGTTACTTCCTCATCTTCCGGACTAAGAACCTTCCTCTTAAACTTAAGAGGTTTCCTAGAGTCGACATGAATAAGCATTCGCCCCTCTGTGAGCTCAATCGTGTCCACTTTTCCAAGTCTCCCTCCAATCTCTCTAAGATTAATGTCTGTCCATAGGTGTAGGGGCATCCCAACCAATCGGACCCAGAAGGGGATAATCCAGGGATAATCATCATGAACTATTGGTTCCCATCGCACCAAAACAAACATGCAGAAATTGTAGTGGAAAGGACCCTTCGAAAGAACGAAGTTAAGATCCTCTTCATTGGCAAAGTTCAAAAGAAACTTTCCATTTCCGAGATCGTTTGCCGTAATCTTCTCTTCCATTCCCCATTGAGCCGGCATTGTCTGGATTAATTTCTCGACAGTTTGCTTTCTTGGATTCAGGATCTTTCCAATAAGAGACATCCGGTATTGTTTGATTACGAAGGCATTATCATGTTCAGTCAATCTTATTGGTGCATCATCATCCTCATCATCTATCGCAACACCCTTGCCTTTACGATCAACTTCAGATCTCGAGATTGAGCGACCCGAAGATGCCATGTGATATGTATCGTCGATGTGGACACAGATCGAAGGTCGTAGCTAATCGGTCGTAGGTCAAATACGGTAACCTCTCTTAGTGTATTCCAGACAAAGATCAGGAATATTTATGAGTAGATCATGTCTTATGGAAAACGTAAACCTTGGGAAAGATCAAAATCAACCAGAGTATAAATCACAGCGTTAACTCCCGTCGTTATTATCATATACACCAGGTACCAGCGATAATCTCCGGAGTGACCGTGGCTGTGATGCTCGACAAAGATCGAGATCACAAGAACTACGGTAGGTACCGGGAGAAACACAGTCCTATCGTCGATCACCACCTATGTGCAGAAGAAACGCCAACTAAACCCTACGCCGATGGACGTACAGGTTAGGAGATGATCGAATCTTCAAGAGAAGACTCAATCCAGAAGATCGCCATTACTGTCGCCAGGAGATCGCCTTAGGGTTTCCGCCGTATAAAGGGCAGTATATATTTTTAACATATACCCATATTATATAATTTTTAATATAATATTTGTAAACAAAAAATTTATAGTTTATATTGATTAATTTGATTGAGGTTTTTGAACCGTCAAATGTATCACTCATAATTTTTATTATATATTTATCATATTAGATTTGCAGGGATATTATTTATAAGAAAAAGTATGTGTGAAATAATATTTTGACAAATTAATTTATCTTTATTTGTATATATCATATAAATTAACTATTTATATTTTATAGTCCAAATGGATATAACTTCACATTTATGAAAATAAAGTAGGTTAATCCATTAAATTAGTAAATTTGAGGGATCAGCAAAGTTTATACTATGTAATAGTAGTTGAATGGATGGATGAACCAACAAAGATAAAAAAAAAAAACAGTTTTAGTCATTATACACATTTCAATTTATGTAGACATTATGGTTTAAAGATTATGAATCTTTTTATTAAGCATCATTTCTTTTTCATAAGAAAATTAGAAATGCCAAAACTCAAGAGTTTAAATCCAAAAACTAAAAAAAAAATGAAATCTACATGATTCCTAACTACAATATTTGCATGTGTGTATTTATGCACCTCCCCATTTCAGCCGACTTTTACAACTCACATTAGATATTGTGGTGGATGTGTCGTTGTTGTTCATTCAAAATCAATTCCACAAAAGCTATATAAAGATTAGGATTTAAAATTCATAGCTTTTTAGCCTAAGCCTTTGACGATTTGATAATCACATCGCTGATTTCAATATCATATCTTGTAATCACCGATTCTTTTCAATAGAAACTTTTTTTTTTCTTTCTGAACACAATGAAACATTTTTTTAATAACTTGCCATTACATTCGTGTTATATATATATATGGCGAATTCAGATTAATTCATTAACAACGGCATGAGGACGGAGCTTACTTGTGATATTCACCAACTGCCTAACTGAGAAGTAACTCTTTGTCAAAAAAAAAAGAAATTATTAGCATGTTATAGAAAAGTTGGTATAATACTAGAATAAGATATATTTTTAAAAAATTACTAGAATGTTTTTCAGATTCCTAATAAATTATAATAAACACATTTGTTTAATTTTATTACTATGGATACAAATTTTAATTGTTAAATTCACATCATAAGGAAGGAAATCCACGTTACTAATTTGTGTCATCAACAGTTATACTAGAAAATCAACCGTCCAATCTCTCTGGTGAATAAAAAAAAGTCATAATGTCACAACTTCTTCGTCACAACTTCCGTTAAATCCTAACCGAGTACGAAATCACAAAATCGTCACAACTAATACTCTCGTATCGAACTGTTTCCAATATCGTAAATCATCACCGATATCATCTTCGTCGACATCCTCTTCTCCACAAACTTTCGACGCAACCATATCTACGACATCATCTTCTCTGGTATGTTGTGGCTGAGTTTGATTTATATTGTAACCGAGTTTGATTTACGACGTGGCTGAGTTATAGATTATGTTGTAACTGAGTTATTGTATAGTGTGGCTGAGTTGAGTTTGATTTACGTTTTGAAAATATAGTTTTCCATTTCGACTGAGTTATAGATTATGTTGTGGCTGAGTTATTGATTATGATCCGACTGAGTTATTGATTATGTTTTGGCTGAGTTATTAATTACTGTGGCTGAGTTATATATTATGTTGTGGTTGAGTTATAGATTATGTTGTGGCTGAGTTATTATTTATGTTTTGGCTGAGTTATTGATTATGTTTTGGCTGATTTATTGATTATGTTTTAACTAAGTTTTGTTTTTATTACGACAGTGTTATATGGTGGCTGGGTTATTTATTATGTTGTGGCTGAGTTTTTTTTCTATTGCGGTTGATTTATATATATGTGTTTTAGGATCAGATGGCTATTTATTAAGATCAAGCACGAGATTATCCTCCACGACTTACGCTGAAGGGGCTTCTAATCAAGAAAATAAAGAGATTAATCACAATTTGCAAATGGGAGATTTCCCTAACGTCAGAGAAACAATAAGACGGGATGTGTGGAATCACATGAGGCAGGGTCCTCTTGGAATTATTGTTAAGCTAGCTGAACGCAAAAGCGTGTGGTCTGGTAGGACTGGCTACTATCTACTATGTCGACAGCTTCAAGTATACAAGAAGGAGATTTGGAGTCTAGTTGGTGATGAACCTATCAGGTTTAGCTTACACAAATTTAATGAGATCATTGGCTTAAACACAGATCCAGTGCCAACATAAAGTTTTGAACATAACCAATACAAAGCGTTTTGGGAGGAGTTGAATATGCCGCTTGGGATGGGACCCAAGTTAGATGAACTGAGGGCAGCATTAGAGCTATGTCCGGCCTAGAGTTTTGAAAAGCCTAAATGGTTAGGGCTGTTACTTCTTCAAGCCATGGGAGTTCATGCTTTGCATCATAATTCTAGGATACCGTTTGAAAGTGCGAAAAGAATATTCGACGATGAAGCAACGTATCCATGGGGTCGGATTGCATATGAAGTTCTTGTTGACTCTATTAAGATTTTGAATCCACAAGGAAGGACGTACACCATAAGCGGTCTGAAGAATGTGTTATTAGTTTGGGCATATGAAGCTATCACTTGTTTTGGAGAGCGTTTTGGGAGAGTGGTCAATGAGCAAGAAGTTCCACTTTTTCGATGGGGTGGAAAGCGTACACATTCAAGTTTTGATATTGTCATTACTGAGGATATTAGAGAACATGGCGTGGTAAGACTGGGTTTTTTGGTATTTGATGGCTGAGTTAGTATGTATATAGTGGCTGGGTTTTTTGGTATTAGTTATTTCATGGCTGGGTAATTATGTATTTATATGGTGGGTGGGTTTTGGTACTTTGTGGCCGAGTTATCAGTTATTTTATGGCTGAGTTATTAGTTTTAACGGCTGAGTTATTAGTACTTTGATGGCTGAGTTATTATGTATTTGGTGACTGGTTTTGTAGGTGCGCGTGAGAAAAATGGTTATGAAGGACTCCGTAGAAGAGATGTTTCCTCAGTGGCCGGATGAAGCAGATGACCCGCAACTCGTTAATTTGATAACATACATATATAAAGGTCGGTTTGTTAGAGTTTTTTGAGTAGCGCAGATGAAACGCAAACAAACAAAGGCTGGTGTTTCGTCAAAGGCTGACCAACCCATTAAGAAGCAGAAGAAAGTGAGAAGCTTCCAAGAGGATGAAGTTGTTGTGAAGGGAAAGGGTTCTTGCGAGAGGGAAGGTACGGATGATATTGGGAACAATCCGATAATGTTGAGATTAATGCATACTCTGGATAGAATTGCCTCAAAAATAGACAGCTATGATAACATATTCGAAAACTTCGAAGCGCGGTTATCCAGAATCAAGTCCACAGATATCGAT